TTGCAGTGTCTAGTCAGGTCGCACTGTCTAGCCCAGTCACTGCGTCCTGCTCCTGTCGGTCCCTCACCCACCGGACCGTCTTGTGGCACCACCGCCTTGGCCACCCGTTGCTCCCCCGCATTCGCGAGATGACCACTTACAGGCTTGTCACCGGTCTCCCACACACCTTTCCGTCGCTCCCCACCTCCCCTTCTCCCCCTTGCGCTCCTTGCGTCGCCGGTCGCATACGCGCCACTCCCCACTCCTCCTCCCTTCGTCCGGCCACTTCTCCCTTCGAGACCCTCCACTTGGACGTCTGGGGCCTTGCCCCGACGCAGGGTTCTGGGAGGGAGCGTTACTTTCTGGTGGTCGTCGACGACTTCTCCAGGTACACCACAGCGTTTCCTCTCGCGAAGAAGTCCGAGGTGACTCCTACGCTGATACGGTGGCTTCTGGCCACTGAGGGCACTCGTGGTCGTCGTGTCAGTTGTCTCCACTCCAACCGTGGGGGCGAGTTTCGCTCCGGTGTTCTTGCCGGATTCTGCGGCGAACAGGGCATTGTACGGTCCTGGACGCTTCCAGAGTCCCCACAGCAGAATGGGGTTGCTGAGCGCCGCATTGGTTTGGTCATGGACATTGCTCGCACGTCCATAATCCATGCCCGTGTGCCCCATTTTTTGTGGCCCTACGCGGTTCGCTACGCCCCACACCAGCTGAACCTCCAGCCGCGCGTCTCACGGCCCGAGGCTTCACCAACCAGTCTTTGGACGGGTCCCCTGGTGTTGGGTCGGTCTTTCGTGTCTGGGGCTGCCTTGCGCTTGTTCGGGACACCTCGACAGACAAGCTCTCGGCAACCGCCGTCCCTTGTGTCTTCCTTGGTTTCCCGGTGGACTCTGCCGACTGGTCCTTTTTCCACCCTCCCCTCCACCAGTTCCTAGACTCACGTGACGTCGGGATTGACGAGTCCGTGTCCTACTATACCCGGTACCCCTGTCGAGGTCTCCCGGTACCCCCTCCTCCCCTCTTCCTCGCACCCTCTCCTTCTCCTGCTCCCGCTCCTCCGGTACCCCCGCCCCCCCCTGGTCCTGCCCCGTGTGGTGTGTCCCACGCTACCCCTCTACCCTCGGTTGCGCGTCAAGTAGCGTCTCCCTCCCCGCAGTCCTCCTCACAGTCCCCTCAGCAGCCTTCGGCACTTCCGCGACAGGTTACTGTGGACTCGGTTGGTGTTGGAGCTGGAGGTGCAGCCACTGGCGGTGCTCGGTCTGGGGGTGCTCGTTCACGGGGTGCTGGAGCTGGGGGTGCTAGAGCTGGAGTTGCTGGCACTGGAGGTGCTAGTTCTGGGGGTGCTGGAGTTGGAGGTGCTGGCACTAAAGGTGCTAGTTCTGGGGATGCTGGAGTCGGAGGTTTTGGCACTGGAGGTGCCGGTTCTGGGGGTGCTGGTGCTGGAGGCACTGGCACTGGAGGTGCTGCATCTGAGGAGACTGGAGCTGGAGACACTGGTTCTGCGGAGTCCACTCCGCCTCCCCACCGCCACGACACGCGTCTCCAGGCGGCCCGTCAGCGTGAGCGTGAGGAGCAGGTGCTGTTGGAGAGGGAGCGGCAGGAGTTGCGGCGGTTGGACCTACTGGAGCAGCAGCAGCGGCAGCAGCAGCAGACACCGCCGCCGCAGCTGCGACCGCACCAGCTCCCTCTGGAGCGGCATTTGTTCCCACCCGTGAGTGGCCTTCGGGCCCTTGGTCTTCCCTCCTCTCCTCTTGTTCACACTCTGTCCCCTCCATCATTTGGTCCCACGTTTCCTCCTCCTGACGCCAGTCCGGCGGTTTGGTCTTCTTCTCCACCGCAGTCTCCTCCACATGTTGTCCCGCACTCTCGTGTCCATCCCTGCCCTCTGCGTGTTCGTCACTCGTCTCCCGTTCCCGACCTCCGCACGACCCTTCTTTGTTCGTCTCTTCGTCGTCCTCCTCCTGAGTCCGTTCTCCCGTCTCCTCCTCCGTCCTCTCTCCCTTCCCCCCTTACTCCTGTCACTGACTACTACCGTGCCGGTTGTCCTGTTGTCCCACGTGTTCTCGCCACTCTTGTCACCGACTCTCGTTTCCCTCCGTCGTCTGTCTCGGCTCTCACTGCCGCGCTCGCTGAGTTTGCTACCGCCAGACGCCTTGACTACACCACCCATGTGGTGCCAGCTCCTCCCTCCCGTCCTCTGTCCGTCGGGGGTGAGTTTGCCCTTGGCTGTGATGTCCTAGAGGACAAAGAGTCTGAGCTGGAGTATTGGGCAGCCGCTTCTCCCTCTGTCTGTGCCATGCTGCTATCCCCTGAGGGAGACCCCGACGGCCTTGACATACCGACTCCTCGCACTTAGCGCAAGGCAGTGTCAGGGGCGTGGGCCTCACAGTGGATAGCGGTTATGGCCTCGGAGTTAGCGTCTTGGAGATCCACAGGCCCCTACGTCGACGCAGTTCCCCCTCCCAGGGCGAACGTATTCGATGGCATGTAACTCTTCAAGGTGAAGCGGTTGCCTGGTTCACCGCCTGTGTTCAAGGCGCGCTACGTGGCTGGGGGTTTCAGTCAGCGTGAGGGAGTTGACTTCTTCCAGACCTTCGCCCCGACCCCGAAGATGACTACTCTTCGGTTGTTACTGCACGTAGCAGCACAGCGAGACTACGAGCTGCACTCTCTTGACTTCTCTACTGCGTTTCTTTAGGGCCGGCTACACGAGGAGATCTGGCTGCGCTGCCCTCCTGGCTTCACTGACACCTTCCCACCTGGGACCCAGTGGAGCCTGAGACGGTCAGTCTACTGTCTCTGCCAGTTGCCCCGTGAGTGGCACGACACTCTCCGCTCCACGCTTCGTGACCTTGGGTTTTGTCCTTCCTCTGCCGACCCGTCGCTGTTTGTTCGCACTGGTTCCACTCCTTTCTTTATACTAGTGTACGTCGGCGACTTGGTCTTTGTCACAGCAGACAGGGCAGCTCTGGCTTAGGTGAAGTCCGAACTGCAAAAGAGACACAAATGCACTGACCTAGGTGAAGTGCAGCGCTACCTTGGCCCGCAGATCACCAAGGACAGAGCCGCTCGCACCATCACACTGACTCAGTCACACATGGTGCAGCAGGTCCTTCGGCGGCTCGACTTCCAGTTCTCCACCACACAACCCACACCTCTTGCTGTTGACCACAGACTCAGTGGCCCCTTTCCGAACGAGCCCTTTGAGCCCAGTGGTCCCTACGCAGAGCTGGTGGGCTGCCTCGTGTACCTGATGACTTGTACTCGGCCGGACCTCGCCTTTCCCCTCAGCATACTTTCTCGCTTTGTTGCGACTGGGAGACACTGTCTTGTCCACGGGACAGCTGCTGTGAGGGTGGCGAAGTACCGGCGACTACATCAGGCATGGGGCTTGTGCTTGGAGGGACTCAGCCGGTGGCGTTGACTAGTCACTGTGACTCTTCCTACGCTGACGACGTGGAGACTCAGCGCTCGACTCAGGGTTACTGCTTCAGTATGAGAGCTGGTGCTGTGTCGTGGAGGTCTACACAGTCATCGTCTGTGGCTACTTCCAGTGCAGATGCAGAGACCTACGCTGGTGCCATGGCGGCACAGGAGCTTCGCTGGTTGACCTTCTTGCTCGCCGACCTTGGTGAGCGGCCTCGCTCTGCACCAACCTTGTATGCTGACAAAAAGACCATGATCCTCCTCTGTCGAGAGCCTCGACTGGAGAGCAGAGTGAAGCATATTGACATGAGGCAGTTCCTCCTGCGAGAGCTGCAGCGACGCGGCCAGGCACGCCTAGACTTCATGGCCTCAAAGGCCAACACTGCAGACGTCTTCACCAAGGCCCTGGAGCTTGGTGACCACCACAGGTTCTGTGTGCAGTTGGGGCTTGTTGAGGTAGGCCTTCGGTTGCTGCAGACTTGTTACTTGCTCTGCTTGATGTGTTCTCCTATATATATCATAATGAACTCTTGAACTGGTCTTGTAGCCGCTTGCTTGTGCTCTGAATTTGTGTGGTGTCCTTGAGATCCACCCTGAGCTTGCCTTGCTCCTTGTCTTGACTGGTCTTGTGACCGTTTGTTCATCCTGCTTGCTTTGATGCCCCTCATTTAGCCTATGGGGGTATGTCAAATGTTGACATTTGTTATAGTCTGTAGTGAGGTGCTATGTAGTGAGTACAATTCAATTAGGCTGTCATGCTTGTACTCCCTTGCCTTCCTACTCTCAACACTCTGTTGCACTCTACTTCTAAGAATCACTTCTTAGTTATTCACTTAGGCGCACTCTGTCCATTGACAAGAACCTTTGGTATCAGAGCTACTTTCCTAGGTTACCCTCCTGTTTCTGAGGTAGTTTGTGGAAGAGTGCGATGTACTTGGTGGGCAACAAATTGGTTGGCCTCTGAAATCGATACGATTATCTCACTCCGACTACGATACCGTAGCTTAGAGCGTGTTCCTATCCTCGTATCAAGATAACCTTGTATCAGGCTCACACTGAAAATTCCCCTAAACCCAAAACCTCTCGCTAGTTTTACCAGGCAAAAACAGCACTCTTGATACGAGGTTTCCTGATATGAGGCCGTAGGAACACGCTCTTACAGTACGTGCCTTCATCAAAAGTCAGAAACAATCGTACTTTGTTGAACGGTAAAGTAGCTGGGCTGAATGAGGAGCAGAGCATCAAAATGAAACTACCGTGGTTAACAGAACGGCACTAAGCCTGCCACTAGTGAAAGCTCACTACTATGGAAATCTCTGGTCAAAACCAAGGCTGCAAAGAAAGGGACCACTGGCTATTGCCACACAGAAAAGCTCAGCAATGCTGGGAGTGGAGAGTGGGGTAAAGCCGCACGTGGTGGTGTGGTGTGTGTACCCCCAACTCCCAGCTTCGCCCTCAACACAACACCATGCTCTGGCATCACACATGGCTGACTCATGACTCATGACAGGACGCCTAACACTCGCCCGATTTGGAAAAGCATACAGCAACTGGGACCGCTGCATGAGAGGTGTTACAGTCGTTTGTTGGACTCACACCTGCACAGAGTACCAAGGGGGAAAGGATTAGAGAGAGGGAGAGGGAGAAGGTGAGGAGAGTAAACACGATAATGAGAGAGGGAAAAGACAAGCGAGGAAAAGGCAGGAACACACACATTGCTCCTCAACTTGGTACCCACTGATCCACAGACCTTGCAACCCGCATTGTCAACCACCTTGCAACCTACCTTGCTACCAGATTTCGGTCGGCAAGTAAGCTTGTGCGAGGGCCAGTGAGCCTTCTGGCAGTCGCGGTTGCAATACGCCACCTTGCCACACCCAGAACACCCCTTCAGCTTCACAGCACCGCCCTCCACCTTCCCACATCCCTCAGCACTGCACACACGCCCCCCACTGGCCGCAGATCCAGTTGCCACTGCCACTGCTGCTGCTGCCGCCGCCGTTGCTGCCGCTGCACTGCTGCTGGCAACGGTGCTTGCAGCAGCAGCCATGGTCACTGCAGCACGGGAGGAGGAGGCGGCAGCCGGGGTAGAGGAGGCAACAGGGGTAGCAGACGAGGCAGCAGGGGAAGCAAGGCGGTAGCAGGGCTCCCCTAGCAGCATCTCTCGCAGGCACGCCAGCAGGTTAACCCCTCCCGGCCACGGCTTCAGATAAGCCGGCACCTCCCCCTTCTTGCCCGTCCCCTCGCTGCTGCTGCTGCTGCCACTGCCACTGCCACTGCTACTGCTGCTCTGCCCGTCCTGCTCCTGCTCGTCTCCACGATACCTCGGGTCGATAGCCCTCTGCCACATTCCAGTGACCCAACTCCCACTCTCCCACTTGCTCCCCTTCGCTTTCCGTGCCTTGTTACCCTTGCATGTCTCAACCATCCCCGGCCCTACCACCCTCAGAGTTGATTTCCACGCAAACATAGCTGCCAGACACCACCCCCTCACCTCCTCCCACACCTCCCCATCGTCCTCCCCGTCCTCCCCACTATCCCCACCCCCCTTCTTCCCTCCCTTCTTCCCTTTCTGCGCCTTCCTCCCAGCACCGCGCCGTACACCTTCCGCGCCTTCAGTGCTCCCCACCGCTTCCAACTCCTCAATCTGCAGCACGGATTTCGGCCAGTGAATGGCCACGTGGAGCAGAAAGAACACCGGAAGCTGCTCGGCTCGCTTCCTCACCACATGTAGGTTCAGCAGCGGAGGGACATCCGTGGGTAGAGGCTCCATGTGCATCAGCTCCAGCAGCTTCGCAAACTCCGCAGTGTGTGGCGGAAAGACCGCCAGGAACCGGTTGAAAAGCACCGACGCGGGGCGATAGGCGTAGTTTGCGATGAGTGTGAGCGTGGGGATGAAGAATGTGTATGTGGCAAAGCACTTGTTGCATTGGGAGCACTCAGGTAGGTCCACCAGCTTCCCTGCAAACTCCACTAGGAATTCTGCATCAGCAGTGCAGCGAACGATGGGTACAGTTCGGTTCTGAGGGGCGGTTGCCCCTACAAGAGCGTCCATGAGGCTCACTGGCCCTTCTCCAGGGTCTCTCCTCCTTCCATTCCCCCTCCCACCCCCCCTGCCTCCTCTCCCGCCCCCACCCTTTTTCTTCCCTTTCCCCCCAGCCCTTGCTGCCTGCCTAGATGACCCCTTCCCGGATCCGCCCTCCCCACCCTCCCCAGAATCCCCCGTCTCAATCTCATCCACCATTCCCAGCCGGAAACACCTCTCACTGGGGTCACGAGGAAGCTTCACGGCAGCTTCATCGCCCTCAGGCCACTCCACCCATTCCATTGGAAAGGTTCGTCCCTCCAAAGGCTTGGGGATGGCGCCGAGCCTGACCAGCAGGCTCGGAAGATCCCGAAGCGGATGGCGCATGGCCAGCACCTTGCCGTGCGGGTCGTCCTTGAAGCATTTCTTCACTGAGATGAAATCTGAGCCGTAGATCCGGACCCACTGCAAGATGCAGCCTGCCCGATACGTGAAGGCTGCTACAACAGCGTTGGAGTTGACAGGTACAAGCCTAGAATCGGAAACAGCACTGCCCACAGGAGCAGGATTGGAGATAGCTGCTGCCTCATCTCCTCCTCCCCCACCCACCTCTCCATCCACTCCCGCCAGCCTCCCCTCCCTGCCCACTCTCCCTCTAGCAGCCTCAATGGCTTCCTCCTCCACGCGGGTCTTGTTCGCGTTGTTCCCGTCTATAAGGAAGATCTGTGCCTCCCTGCTGTGCTCTGGCTCACACAGCACACCCGCCACAGCCAGGGCGAATTCAGTAGCACCCAGGCCACTCACATACATGCCCGCAGGGGCGTTAGTGACCTCCTTACTGCCGCTACCGCCTCCGCTGTTGCTGCTGCGTCTGCCGCCGCGGCTTTTGTTGCCGTTGCAGTGGCTACAGCTGAACTCTCTCCCTTCCCCACCTCCATGCTCCAGTATCCAGCCCATGCCATCCACATACCTCTCCCACGCCGCCCCCTTCAGCTTCTCCCGCCAATTCCCGTCCTTCCCCTCCCCCCCACCATCATCACCACCCGCGCTTTCCCCCTCGTTATCACCCCCATTCCCCCCACTTTCCGCCTCCAGCATTTGAGTGAGCCGGCGCATAGCATCCTTATCCCCAAGCATTTTCATCATCGCATCCATAGGTATCATCCCCGGATCCCCCATCAGCCTCCTCCGCTCCTCCGTCCCCATCCCCCCCTCCTTCTCCATCAGCCGCACCATCGCCCTCATTATCTCCTGCATCCCCATCCCCTCCACCCCTCTGCCACCCCCCGCCCGCGCTGCGCCCCGCCCTGCGCCGCCCCCTCCCACGCCTCTCCCCGCGCCTCTCCCCTTCCCCTCCGCATGCGCCTTCTCAAGCCCCCCGGAGAGAAGTTCCTGTAGGAAAAACCCGAAGCCTTCCTTGAGATCTCCGCGCTCCTTCACCCCCAGGATCTGCCCCAGCGCGGAAGCGAAGCTGTCCTGCTCCGCCTGCCTCCCCGCCCCCAGCGCCGCCGCCATGGCTGGGAACGCCGCGGAGTAAGAGTCCATGTGCGCCCTCCATATAGTCACGATGCGGGGAGACCTCGCTACAAGCACGAGAAATGTAGCGAAACTGACAGCGCGCCGGAAAGCCGCCCAGCAGCTGCTGCAGCGGTAGCAGCAGGAGGAGGAGCAGGAGGCGGTAACTGCAGCATCACGTGCACCAGCACTGGCATGGTCAGCAACAGCCTTAGGAGAAGAGAACGAAGACGGATACTGAGACAGAGATGGAGACGGGAAAGAGACTCCTGCAGCATTGAGAATCGCAGGAATTCTGGATCTGATCTTCCCCAGGTCCATGAGTACGCCCACGCGGGGCTCCGCAAACCACTCCACAAGCATTCCTTCCGCGCAGAGGTACGGCGCGCGCTCGCACTTCCAGTGGTAGTGCACGGGGGGCGGAGCCCCGCGCGGCCCCCCCACCGCCCACACCGGGTTCCGCGCGGAGTGGTCTAGAATTGCGCGCGTCGGGCGGTTCGGGGGCGCGGCGGGGACGGAGTCTGGCATCTGCTTGTGCAGGTGCGAGCGGAAGTCTTCTAGGCTCATCATGTTGAGGGCGCGCTGCCCGCGGTAGCTCACTGCGCGGTCGAAGCAGCACTCGCACTCCTTAAGATCCCACCCGCCATCCCTGACGTCCAAATAGTGAACTATTTCCGCGCGGCAAGGCAGCTGAAGAAGCTTCTCCGGGCCTTCCTGGGCGCCGGATTTTCCGGCTCCCGCTCCTTTCTGCGCCTTGGACTTTCGTGCCGCGTTCTCCGCGGCGTCGAGCTGCTCGTCCTTGGGAATCCATTTTTGCAGCATCTTTTTTACGTCCGGTGGGATTGGTTGGTTCCACCATGCCGCTGCGAGGGCCGCATCTTCTGCCGCTTTGCTGCTGAATCCGAATGGGTGCATTTTTAGATAGTTTCAAGGCGGCTTGGAATCTAGATTACCGGTCAAGATTATCCTGAAAATGAGGTCGTTCTCAAGTCGTCCCAGACAATGGCTACTTGTGGAAAGAGAGGATTAGGTGGGAAGATATCCAGGTTGGGAATATCTAGGATAAGTACTGAGCAGACACGAGGGAAGGGAAGATGGGGGAATGCTGCAGAGGTTCGAATCTCAAGAGGAAATCTGGAAGACGCTTGGGGAGTTTTCAATGTTGAGCGGGAAGGCGTGTCAGGAAGGTGTCAGAGAAGTGCCTTGGAAATATATGTACAGCCTGGCAGGTCTGCGAACATAGCGGAGAAGCGCATTACGCTATAGCAGGCTTAAAGCGACGAAAAACCGGGTAACGTGTTCGACGACAACAGCAACTCGAAGTGCGAGCAGAATGCTTTCTTCGTACCCAATCAGTGGAAAGAAGTGTGGGTGGAGCAGGACAGAACGAAGACGAAAGATTTGACGACAAACACAACCGAGACATTCGTTTCGCGACAATAATTTCGGCAGTGGCGTTTCGTACAAACACCGCCTTACTCTCCCAGGTATTTGGTACTTGGGAGAGTACCAACCCGATCAGAGCAGCTTCTGAAAACGTCTTCGTGATGCGCGCTTGTGCCACGCGCCGCGTGCGTGCAGCAGTAGCATCCATAACGGCGTCGGGATTTCCATCGGCGTTACCATTAAGATCAGCTTCGGCTGCAGTGTTGGGATCGGGTTTATGCAATAAAAATGCTCCACACTTCGCCATCCCTCCCGTATCCGCAGCTTTACGATTGGTCTTTGATCCGTCCGTCTCCTATAGTAGATCTTGGGACACTAGCGCTTATGACTCGTCGTTTCTAAAACGTGATCTTGGCCGTCCGATCCCCGCCTCGTGCCACGTGGCAAAATCGACGGTCAGGCATGCGGCAGGAGTGCTAGCTGCTCGCGCGTTTACCTCCGCGGGTAGCCCTGCGGGAGAGGATGGCGCAAGCAGCGCAGCCAGGCGCAGCACCGATGGTGCAGACGCGGAAGGTTCAGCAAATTCCGAACCAGCGAGGTCAGCAGGTTCGGTGGACGCAGCAGCCGAACCTACAGGTCCGCCGCTGCTTCGGAAGCGGCCATTCAAGGCAGCATATGCGCGGGCGGCGGAGGACGGCGGAGGCGGATGGGTGGTGATGCTGGATGGGCGCATGCTTCAGACGCCCGCCAAGCGCATCATCCGCCTGCCGTCCGCGGCGCTGGCGCACGCGCTGGCGGCGGAATGGGAGTGGCAGGTGCGGGGGGGAGGCAGGGGGGAGAAGGGGGGTGTTGGCGGGGGAAAGTAAGAGGTGATGGTTTTTGGAAGGGATGGTGGGGAAGAAGGATTAGGGGGAGGGTGGCGGATACCGTTTATGGACAGACAGGGCAGTGACGTATGCTGAACTTACAAGAACGTTCTTTTCTAGTGGATCACACGACGATTCGGCCCACCTCCTTCGTTCCCTCCTTCTCCTTCCCCGCTCCACCACCTCGATTTGACCTTTTCTGCCTCCCTCCCCAACAGGAATCCGCGGAGCTCCGCGCTTACACTCTGCTGCCAATGAAGCTGGTGTGCCGCACAGTGTGTTGGAGAATACTCGCCTTGTTCCCCATTGTTCTGCCTTCTGCCTGACCCTATCTGCCTGTCCCCTACAGGAATCATCAAAGCTCCGCGCGTACACGATGCTGCTAATGAAGCTGGTGTGCACGGCGGTGGATCAGATCCCCACGGACCGGGACAAGGTGGTCGCACACCTGCTGCGCTTCTTCCACACAGATACCGTGCTCACCCGCACGCCGCTCCCCGCTCACCACGTGCATGCGCCCACGCCCTCCCCTTCCGCCTCCTCCTCTTCCTCCTCTGACGCCTCTGCGGCTTTGGATTTTAGTGCTCTTACCACCACTCCGACCACAGGGCCCTCGCTCCAAGGTACTTCCACTTAGCTGACGAACGGGTTACCGTTTCGATACCTTCCTGCGCTCTCTACACACCCTGCATTTTCTGTGTTTCCCTCATTCCTTCCCCCTCTCCCCGTTCCCTCACCCTCTTCTTCCCCTTTCCCTCCTCTCCCTCCCTCCTCGCTCGCCCAGATCTGCAAGCAGCAGCATGGGACCCTTATTCTAGACTAAATCGAATCCAAGTTCAGAGCCCCCCCTCCATATCCCATAACCTGCTGCTGCGATGACTTTAAAGTCGCGTAAAAGCGTCACCCTCTTCATACCCTTCCCTTACTCCCGCTCTCTCCCCGCTCCCCCAGACCTGTAAGCAGCAGCATGGAACCCTCTCCTGGACTGGATAGAGATAGAATTCGGCGCACGCCCCTCCGTATCCTACCTTTTACTGCCGTAATGACTTCTATTTCGACTCACAAGTCGCTCTCCTCATCTCCTTCACCCCCTCTCCCTCCGTCTTCGATCCCCCAGAACTGCAAGCAGCAGCATGGGACCCTCTCCTGGACTGGATAGAGTCCGAGTTCGGCGCCCGCCCTTCCGTCTCCTACTCTTTACTGCCGCCCGATCAGCCCGACGCTGCCGTGAGGGCCTTGCGCTACGCGCTGCAGCCAATGGACGCCTTCCACCTGGCAGCAGTGGATTTCCTGGCAGGCCCCACACGCTCGCTGGTGCTGGCGCTGGCGGTGGTGAAGGGGCGCCTCAAGATGGGTGAAGCCATGAGGGTGATTCGCGTGGAGGAGGATTTCCAGGTGGGTGTTTGCTTTATTGTCATTTCCACAATATTTTTTTCTTCTTTGAGTGTTGGTGCTGGCGGTGGTGCGGGGGGGGGGGGGGGGGGGGGGGGAGGGGGCTTAAGATTGATGAAGCCATGAGGGTAATTCGCGTGGAGGAGGATTTCCAGGTGGGTTTTCAGGGGGGCTGGCGTGATGCTGAATAGCTCCTTCATTTCCTGATTCAACAGCATGTGGGCGTGTGAAAAGCAGTTGTGATATAGCTCTCCGTGATCCATTCCCCCATCAATTCATGCACGCATGCATGCATGCATGCATATGTAAACCCATCTGGCCCGGCGCACCCATTCATTTTGAGCTCCGTATATCCCCATGCATGAATGTGTTGCCATGCAGACGGATCGGTGGGGAGTGGTGGAGGGGGGTCATGACATAGATGCATCGGACCTGAAAGTGCGTGTGTCAGCAGTTTCAGTCTTCGTTCGCCTGCTATCCATGCCTTGACTTGGCGCTTGGGGTCTCTAATGTGATCCCTAGGCTTGGCATGCAAGAGACAAAATAATGACATATCGAATGGAGGGCAGTTGAAACAGTGTAAGAAAAAAGCAGGGAAATTTGTGACGTGGGGTCATTGGTAATGACTGGGTAACTGTAAGGAATTTTCTCGGCATTCCTTACGGAGCCCGACTGCATCGCGTACAGCAACAGCCGTTGTTCGCCCGTTACTGCTAACAGGGCTTTGCCGATTTCGCGCGCACTGTTTCACCAAACCTCGCACTACTGGCCTGGCCGTGTTGGCCTACGCTTCGGGACTAGCCCGAGCCTCGTTTCCAGCGTAGCACTAGCTAGCTCGCACGCACCGCGTTACCGTTTGCATGTTTCGCGTATAAATGTTCACTCATGCCTTCGCTCACATTTGGTACTCGTTTCGACACCTTAGTGCAATTCTCGCTACTTCGATTCATTGCACCCGTAACACTTGGTATTCAGAGCCTCTTTCCTTTCGGACCACGCATCTCCGCACCCCAGGAAATCAACTTTTGATTTTTCACTTGAAGGGACTCACGTACCTTAGCACCTAGGAGCCGCTGTCCTCGCGTTCTCTCGTAAACGCGTGCAGCCACGACTGCGCCTAGACTAAGACGAGCCGACGCCCTTCGAAATGGCTGAACATATCGACGTTACGACTCTCACACAGGAGCACTTGAACGATCTGCTGCGACAAATTCGCGAGAGCGCTGAGGAAATTGCGACGCTGACGGCAGAACGCTCGTCCCAGCAAAACGACCTCACACGAGCACAATCCCAAGCACCTGGCACTCCGATTCAGCCCGCACCACAGACATCACAGCACGGAAGTGTGGGGCAACCCGCGAGCGCCGCAAGTGATGGCGTTGTCCGCCATGGCGGAGACGACGACCACGGCACGACACACCCCGACGCGACGAATGCGGCCAGGACTCAGCCTCGAGTCACGATTTCAGTGCCGGCCGGCGAATCAACTCTTCCGTCGCCGATGCCGCTAAAGCCGCAGCGTCCGCCATGCTTTGACCCAAGTCAGCGGGGTGGTCGTACCGTTCAGGCGTGGCTCTTCACGTTGAACGTCTTCTTCGACGCGAACTACGTCTCGGAGGATACGGCGAAGATTCGCTACGCCGTGTCGTTGCTACGAGGACCCGCCATGGACTGGTGGCGCGTCATCGTCACGAAGCCGGTGGACTACGTGACTCTACCGACACGGGAAGGACAAACCGGACCCTGGGCGCCGTCGTATTTCGTGGAGGTGCCCCAATATCGCACGTGGGACGCGTGGTGCCCCAGAAACTCGATTTCTTCCGCCGACCGAGACCGGGGTCCTACGGGAGCAGCCATTGGGGACATCGGCCTCGTGGGACGAATGAGGGCGCCACGATACGCGCCGTCGCCGCAAATGCCGCTGCCGCACCGTTCAAAGGGCGCTGCTTTGCGTGCAATCGGCCGGGACATCGCAAGAACGAATGCCCAGAAAACGCTAAGGGAAAGGGGGAAGCTGAGCAGCAGAAATAGACCAAGCAGCAGGGAAACGCTGGGAGTCAGTAGGAGACGGGCCCTCTACTAACAGGTCACGCCGCTCGCCCGACCCAACCGACCCTCACCGAGTGATTGTGCCAGTTCACGCAATCGACCACACTCGGCCGAATAAGGAGGGGACAACGGTAGACCGCCCCATACTGCTTAGTGGGAAAATCGGGACGGACTTAGTTAAAATCTCCGTAGACGGGGGAGCTAGCCACAGCCTTATCAGCACTGCTACGGCATGAAAACTGCGACTGCCTCTAGACAGATGTTTATCTGAGATCGACGCAAGATTGGTAGACGGCACGTCGCTGGGGAACGCATAGACCGGGTTGGGATTCGATGTGGGGGTAACTTCACGTTTAGCCAAGAAATGCTCGCAACGACCCTCGACGGAACCGATATTTTACTCGGGCGTGATTGGCTGCAACGACACAACCCGCGAATCGACTGGACAAGGGGTGAGTGCACCGTGCGAGTGAACGATAACAACATCGCCCTACCTCGCTGGGGCTCGCCTGAGTCTTCGTCGGTGCGTGTCAACGCGATCACGATGAAACGCGCCGTAGCGGCAGGAGCTGATGTGTACGCGGTCGACATTCGGGAAGCTTGTCAAACTTATATGCTATAGTCTGTGTAGGCTGTAGTGGGGTAGACTATATGGGGTACAACATTTCTAGGTTTTCCTACTTGTACCCACCTCTTTCCTAGTTTATTCATTCCTCATTCTTCACATGGTATAGAGCAGGTTCCCTCGTGGGAACGCTTCTCAGGGCCCACCACTGAACTCGATCTTTTCTTCCTGCCCGAGGCGCGCCCCGTAGGCCGCCCTCACGTCGCGCCCTCCTAGAGGTCCCTCGCGCCACCCTTAGCAGCCCCGTCGCCACCCCTTACGGCCCCGTTTCCGTCCTTTGCGGCCCCGTCGCCGCCCCTCTAGGCCCCTCACGGCCCCTTCGTGGCCCCGTCGCCGCCCCTCTAGGCCCCGTCGCCGCCCCTCTACGCCCCTCGCGGCCCCTTCGCAGCCCCGTCGCCGCCCCTCTAGGCCCCGTAGCCGCCCCTCTAGGCCCCTCGCGGCCCCTTCGCAGCCCTGTCGTTGCCCCTATCGGCCCCGTCGCCACCTCTACCGGCCCCGTCGCCGCCTCTCTAGGCCCCTCGCGGCCCCTTCACGGCCTCGTCGCCGCTCCTAGCGGCCCCGTCGCCGCCCCTATCGGCCCCGTCGCCGCCCTCCGCGGCCACGTCGCCGCCCTTCGCGGGCCCGTCGCCGCCCCTAGCGGCCCCGTCGTCGCTCTTCGCGGCCCCGTCGCCGCCTCTAGCGGCCCCGTCGCCGCCCTTCGCGGCCCCGTCGCCGCCTCTACCGGCCCCGTCGCCGCCCTTCGCGGCCCCCATCGCCGCCTCTACCGGCCCCGTCGCCGCCTCTACCGGCCCCGTCGCCGCCTCTACCGGCCCCTTCACCGCTGAGCCGCCCAGCAGCTGAGCAGCCGAGCCACCAAGCCGCCGAGCCGCCAAGCCGCCCAGCAGCCGAGCTGCCCAGAAACCGAGCCGCCCAACAGCCGAGCCGCCGAGCCGCCCAGCAGCCGAGCCGCCGAGCCGCCCACCAACCGAGCCGCCGAGCCGCCTAGCAGCCGAGCCGCCGAGCCGCCCTGCCGTCGAGCCGCTACTGTTCCTACCGGCACGCCCCGGCCCTACTTACTCGGACTGATGAGATCACTCCCTGCTAGACCACTGCTGTCATGGCTACCCCCAGTGTCCTTACCTTTGATGCTGAGGGTCGTGCTGTTGACTTTGAGGTCTGGGTCGATGACCTCCAGCTGTTCCTACAGTGCGATAGGGCAGACGGACTCTCTCTGTTCGATCTCACCTCTGGTGCCTCTCCTGCCCCGCCGACTACTGCTGACAGCACTGTTCGCTCACAGTGGGCCACACGCGAAGCTGCTGCCCGTCTTGCTGTGCGTCGCCACTTACCGACCATTGAGCGTGCGCACTTTAGTCAGTATAAGAGTGCTAAGACCTTGTATGACGCTGTAGTTGCACGCTACTCTTCCCCTGCCACTGCTGCTCTTAGCCGCCTCATGCTGCCGTACCTGTTCCCTGACCTTGCTGCCTTTCCCACAGTAGCTGACCTCATTACGCACCTTCGCACTAGTGACACTCGCTACCGCGCTGCGCTTCCTGCTGAATTCTGTGCCAAGAACCCCCCCCCCCATGTACATCACCCTCTACTACATAGTCACCCAGCTCCACGACTCCCTTCGCTTAGTCAGGGACCACTTCCTCTGAGTTTGCCCCACCACACTCACCGTTGACCTCCTCGAGAAGCGCCTCCTAGCAGCAGAGAAGAGCATAGTCGCTGTAGGAGCCTCTCGTGGTGACCCTCGCACCCCAGTCTTTGACGGGTGTTCCCCCTCCCCCCTCTTGCCCTCTGTTGCTTCTGCTGCAGCGGCCGACCTCGTTGGTTTCGAGTCGGTCGGCGCTGCGTCTGCCCCTAGCGGGAGACGCCGCACCCGCACGGGCAAGGGGGGCAAGGGCACTGGAGGGGCTGGCGGGGGCGGTGGAGGTGGTGGTGGAGGCAGTGGAGGGGGTGGGGGTGGAGGTGGGAGTGGTGGCGGGGGTGGAGGTGTCAGTGGCAGCAGTGGAGGCGGAGGAGGCGACGGCGGTGGCGGAGGGAGCGGAGGCGGCGGAGGTGGCGGAGGCGGCGGAGGTGGCGGAGGCGGCGGCGGCAGCAGTGGAGCTGGTCGCGGCTCTACGCAGAGGAGTGGTTCCGGTGGTGGTCAGCGCCACCAGCAGCAGCACGCTCGTGAGACCCCGTCCCCTCAGCAGCTTCGTGAGTGGTATGCTGGGCGTCAGCGAGGTGGGGGTACTGCTCCCTGCACCTACGTCCTCCATACCGGCGACCGCGCTGGTGAGCAGTGCGGGGGCCCGCACTCCACCCAGCGCTGCTTCGGCCGCCTGACGGACGCGTGGCGTCACCAGTTCCCTGACGCCACTGAGATCCCTCGCTGGGGAGAGCTGTCTAGGGCGGGGGTTGCTATCTTTGATCTTGATTATGATGCTAATCTTGCTGTCATGTATGCTGTGTCTACTAGTGATGAGGGTGACTGTTACCTGTGTGTTCCGCCTGACCCGGGCATTGAGGCTGTTGCTCTAGGTGCTAGTGCGTCTGCTGCCTCAGGTACTGGTGAGTCTGCTCTCTAAGGTACCACGTCGGCTCAGGCCTTACACACCTTCACCCCTGACTCGGGTGCTTCCCGCTCCTTCTTTCGAGACCGCACCACGCTTACGCCGCTTAGTCGGCCGGTTGCGATCTCCCTGGCGGACCCCTCTGGGGGTCCTGTCCTTGCTAGCTTCTCCACTGTCTTACCGTGTCCGGCAGCCCCCTCTGGCACCCTGTCAGGTCTCTACCTCCCCTCGTTCTCTACGAACTTGGTGAGTAGAGCTGATCTACAGGATAG